CGCACCTTACGAGGCGGAGCCCGCCTCCCGCTGCGGGGGCTGAGAAGAAACGCCAGGCCCGTCCCCAGCTTCCTCTGCAGCTGACACGGCCCAGGCCCTGGGCGCCTCCGGTCGGGGGCCCCGACCCCAGACTCTGACACGCAAACTGGTGACCTGGACGGGAGCAGCGCGGGGTCCGTGCCGCTGACCACGGCGGTCCCGGCTGTGGAGCAGCGGTGGCGGGTCGGGGCGCAGCGGGTGCCCCCAGTCAGTGGGGTGGGCGCGCACGGCCCTATGGCAGGGCGTGGCTCCGGGATGACTCGTCCCAAAGCCTGGTGGTCCAGACCCGCCTGGGGGCCGCCTGCCACCCTCCGACACACACGCACGCGGGTGTTCAGTTAGTCGGTTGGTTTCTGTTGCTTGTTACCGAGAACCCTGACGGATGCTCAGGATCATGTGACGGAACCGGGGTGGTCCGGTGGGGGTGTGGGGTGCGGGTGGCTCGTTAAGAAGGAGCCTAGGAGGGAGCGACAACCACGGCGAGCCCCGACCGACGGCAGGACGGGATGAGTCATTCCGGGCGGCGCACGGAGCACGTGTGTGGGGGACCCCGGCTGGGGCAGGGGCGGGAAGGACAGGTCTGAGGGCGGGAGGCTGGAGGCGGGGTCGGGGATGAGGGTGCGTTCTCCGTGCCACAGGAAGCCACCGGATGGTCCTGGGCGGAGGGACGTTCGGCGAGTCCATTTTAGCGGCGACGTTAGAATCGACGCTGTGCGGAGGGCGGCTGACAGGGGAAGGGACCCCGTCAGCAGGTGCGGCGGTGGTGGTGGCGGTGGCGGCAGGGGCCGGCGAGAAGTGGAGATGGAGGGGGATCTGGAGGACCTGACGCCAGAGTGGAGGCAAAGAACAATCAAAGGTGACTTCAGGGCGTGTGGCTTAAGGGCCTGGGTAGATGGCGTGACATCCACTGAGCTTTAACTACGATTAAACCCCAGGGAGGAGCAGGTCTGGGGGAGGGCGGGCCACGGGCGTCTCTTCCCTGTCATTAACCTGCCGGCAGCGCAGACGAGAAGTTTGATTATTTCTCCTTCCTCTGGAAGCCGCTTTCTAAGTTTTGGTGCCTCCCGTTGCGTTTTGAGGAGAGCGGGGTGCAAGCTGACGAGGTCCTCGCAATCTGTGAGGTCAGCCGGGCTTTGCCTCACCTCCGGGAACCCTCCTGAGAATGGCAAGTAGGAACTGAAACAAAACAAGGTGGGCGTCGAATGCGAATGATCATCGCAGGGTGTGGAGGGCAGTGGGGACGATCTCATTTTCGCCAGCACCTGTCTGCGCTCGTGTGAAAGCAACTTGCAGAAATAAGACCGCCGTCTGCTCCATCGTCCGCGGGCGGCGGCCTCCTGGCCCCCGCTTTCTGTCTTCTGTCTTTTCTCCATCTCCCCGCCGTCCCCACTCGGCAACATTTTCCAGGGCCGCGCAGGACGCGGCAGCGTTTCACGAACCGCACCAGCATACTCCGAGGTGCGTGTCTTTTTTCAAAATCGAGGTGAAATTCTCCTACATGCAACTAACACGATAATGTGCACGATCCGGTGGCATCTGGTGCATGCGCAGTGCGTGCCACCGGTTTCGAAACAGCCCGTCCCCCCAGAAAAACACCCCGTTTTCATGAAGTAACCGCCCCCCCCACCCGTCCGGGTCACCACCCATCTGCTTCCTGTCCCTGGCCCTATCTGGCTGTGCCACATGAAATGCATCTCGCACGGTGAAGGCTTCGTATCTGCTTCCTTCAGTCAACATACTGTCGCCGAGCCGCGCGCTCCGGTGTTCCGTCCCTTTTTATGGCTGACTGTCCGACCGTAGCTACGGTCCTTCAGGCCTGTGGCGGCTGTGTCTGCGCTGGGCGTGGACAGACTTCTCCCTCGTCACCACACGATACAGTGTAACAAGCGCTTACACAGCATCGTCGTTGTATTAAGTGTCGTACGTGACCTAGAGGTGCGTTCGAGCCCATGGGACGATGGGCGCGGCTCGCACTCATACTCACACGCGGCACCCTTTTATACTAGAGACTGAGCAGCTGCAGATCTGGGGACCTGTGCGGGACCCTGGAACCGACGCCCCGCCCACGCCAGGGGACGGCCGTGCTCACCGCGACCCGTTTACCTGTTCATTCGCCAGCGGACACCTGGGTCGTGTGCACCTTTCGGCTGTTATTGATGAATCTGTTGTAGACGTTTGTGCACAGGTTTCTGTGTGGACATGTGGTTTATTTTCTGCTGGATACGTACCGAGGAGTGCAACTTCTGGGTCACCCGGTAACTCAGAGTGGAACTTTTCGAGGAACAGCGTGTGTCCATGGCGGCTGTGCCGTCTTTCCTAGTCAACGGCCACGTCCCTGGGGCCCCTCGTGCCCGCTTCTTTACAAATTCCTGTGAGTTTGCTTTTTCTTTTTCATCAAGTCCATTCTAGTAGGCGGGAAGTGTGATCGTGGCTTCGATCTGAATTTCCTGAATGGCCGGCGACGCCGAGTGTCATTTCGTGCACGTGCTGGCCATTCGTGGATCTCCTTCCAGAGAAATGTTCTTTCGAGGCCTTCTGAGTGAAAGTCTGTTTAAAAAGATGGCTATCATTTGCCTCTTGCTGAGTTGTGAGAGGTCCTTATGTATTCTGGACGCTAGGCCCTTCGCAGACACGTGATTTGCAAATATTTCCTCCTGCCCTGTAGGGTGTTTTCCACATTCTTGATAATGTATTTGGATACATGGAAGTTTGAAATTTTGATGAATTCGAATTTATCAATTTTTTTCGCTCATGCTTTTGATGTCAAATCAAAGCATCCTTTGCCCAGTCTGAGGACGTGAAGATTTACCCCTGTGTTTCTTCTGATAGTTTTCCAGTCTTAGCTCTTCTATTTTGGCTGTTGATCCATTTTGAGTGAGTTTATGTTCACACAGCTGACCCTGGAACAACATGGGTTTGAACTGTGTGGGCCCACTTACACATGGATTTTTTTCCAATAAATACTGTAAATGTATTTTCTCTTCCTCACGATTTTAAGTACATTTTCCTCTAGCTTACTTTATTGTAAGAATACAATATATAATACATATAACATACGAAATACGTGTTTATCGTTGTTTGTTATTGGTAAGGCTTCCGGCCAACAGTAGGCTATCAGTTTAGTTTTGGAGGAGTCGAAAATTATATCAGCTCGCACAGGGGGTCAGCGCCCCTAATCCTTGCATTGGTCAAGGGTCAACTGTATATGACATGAGGCGGGAGGCCAAGATCATTCTTTTGCATGTGGCTATCCACCTGCGTGATCGCCTTTGTCGACATGGCTATTCCCACCTCCTCCACCCTCCACTGAATGATCCTTGTTGAAAATCAATTGGTGATAGACATCGCTCTTAGTAATATATATACATATATTTTTTTTGGAGGGGGGGATGTGTCTCCTCGGGCAATGGAAACACAAATAAACAAATAGGACCATATCAAACTAAAATGTTTTTGCACAGCAAAGGAAACCATGGACGAAAGCAAAAGACAACCTACCGAATGGGAGAAGATGCTCACCAACGAGACATCCGATAAGGGGTTAATGTCCAAAACGTATAAAGAACTCATACAACTCAACACCAAAAAGACAAACAATCTGATTTAAAAACAGGCGGAGGGCCCGAGTGGACAGTGCTCCACAGAGGAACAGGGATGGCCAACCGGCACATGAAAAGATGTTCAAAGTCAGTCACTAAGCAACAGGAAAATGCGGCACGTCTGCTGCCCCGCCTGGAGGGCCCATGCAAATACACATGCATATAATTTTCCCTTGCAAACTTTTGAGAAACTGAAATTCAATCTAATGATGTCATATCCTTTAAATGTCTTAAAAGCGATTCTTTTAAATAAAGGACACGCGCTCACCAGCTCAGTCTACGTAGGTCCCTAACGGAAGTGAGTTAATTATGAAGCCGGCACTGTCTCGATTTGCTTTAATCCAAGATGTGTTTACAGGAAAGGATTTCTGTGTTGGAAAGGATTTCACTGTTTCAGGACGCTGTGGCCAGAGCCACGGGGACCCAGCCACCTGGTCATGTGAGGCTGCGCACAGCCCGGTTACGGGCTGCTCTCGATCTTAGGCTTCCAGTGAGGCGACGTCCACTTGGAAAGGCAGGAACGCATGTGTCTCATCTTGGGGACTTCCTGACCTTGGTGGTT